TGCAATGTAGCACAATTTCTAATTTGGTTGATTTAAAGTGAATCGAAAAATAGGCGTTTCGATTATCAAGCAACATTAAAAAAAAAAAAAAAAAAAAAGAAGAAGATCAAGAGTGCCAAAATGAGAAGGTCCGAAGGTCATATATATAGCCTCTCCTACTTTGATTACATAGTTCTCGATTTCTCTATAAAAGTCTAGGTAGAAGGTAAACGAAAATGTGCCAACATCTTTTTTTTTCCCGATAAAACTACAAAGTCAATCTCACTTCAACATTGCTATTATGGAAAGTGACAGCGAGGTAGTTTTATTAAAAAGAGAAGAAAAATACAATTTGTCAAAGGAGACATAAAACCCAACATTGACTATGATAACAATCATAATAAACAAAATCTTCAACAACTAATACAAGATATAACAACGTGACAACATCTTATTTGGTGGTCGGACAAGACATGTGATCAAGCCGTCACACTTAAGTTCTATCTACATGGTTGTCCAAAAATAAACTTCAAATGACGAAACTTGTAGCTCAAGTTTCTAACACGCACGCAGAAGCCCATTTCATGTCCAAGCCCTAAGCGTTGGCAACGAAACAGAATCAAGACAAATAACAAACCAAATATTTCTGTTAACTTACATCCATATTAATATAACTACTTAGGAGGATAATAATACGGATGAATTGTATAATATGTCTGCAACACTGTGAGAGCCAGCAGAATAAACGCCGCAACCAAGGAAATAATCGCCCACGGCGAATTAAAATGCTCGCGCTTCAGCTTTTCCATCCACTTGTTCCAGTTTTTTTCATAATACTCGTTCACATCGTTGCAGAGTTGCCCGTAGTAGGATCCCACGACCGTTGTGTCGTTGTACAGTTCGTTGAAGAACTTTGCAGCGTCTTCCGAGCTCAACCAGTTCACCAGTATTTTCCTCTCGCAAAGAAGGTCGATGTCCTTGCTCGAATTGATGAGATTATCCATCAGGACGGCGTAACTCGTTATCATGTGGGGGCAGCTGGGGTAGCATTGCTCGAAGGCGATGAGGTTCCTGAGGAGCGGCCCTGTCCGCTCGTCGATTACTAGTTGTGGCATAGTGAACTTCCCTTTTTCGAACTTCATGTTCAATATGCCACCCGAAGGACCTTCTTTGCATTTAAAGCCAGCTTCGAATTTAATGCCAGCTTCGGACAGGGTTGTCACGTTTGGAACCCTCGGCATCTCTTCCCCCGTGCTGTCGTCTTTAGAAGTGGCAATGATCGCGGTTCTTATGAGATCGAGTATGTGCAGGATTTCAGGACGGAGATTCACACTTGAGTTTAAAATGCAATTGTCCCCGACGTATTTTCTGAAGAACTTGAGGACAAGGTCGGCGAGGGAGGAGGCATTTCCTTCGCTAGTAGTATTCTTCACGGCAGTTAAATTGTATAACCGCTCGAGAACAAACCATGGCAGCTGATTTTCTAGCAGGAGAAGGTCATGGTAAAGATATAGCCGAATGCCGGACATACAGTAAACGGGGTCCTTCTCGTCTTGTAGATCGTGGGAAGGTCCTTTTCGAAATAGTTCGATTAGAAAGCATCCGTCGAGTACCATCATCTCAACAAAGTCTTCCTTGTTGAGACCCAATGGCTCTACGTAACAATCACGAGCGCGCTTGTCCAAATCCGAGACACCTTTGATCAAGCCTGGCAAAGTTTCTTTTGCATGTGAAAGAAGGCACTGTAAGTACCAGCGCTTCACATTTTCCATTAATCGGAATTGATCACCACCGCGGCCACGGTGAAAGGGTCCGATTGAGATGACGTAAGGTTCGTATGCTTGTGCGTTTTTTTGCCGAATCTGGAGGGGAACTCTGAAGATGCAGCAGGATGCTGGCAATGGCGAAACATGGAGTAGCTTTGGTGCGATGTTGGTTGTCATTTCTTCCACAATACCATCTATAGGAACGGATGTCTTGGCAGCAGTGTCATCAACTTCGCTAATTTCTCTCTCATTTTTCATGACTGCAGATATTTTTAAAAAATCTGAATCAAATTAATTGCAACGAAACAAATTCTAAAGTAATTTTTAAAAAGGATAATACTTCGCGCATTCACTTAGAAGTAGGCAACCTTATATTCCCGATAATCACAATTTGACATGAATGCAAAACTACGGAATAAAATGGGTTGGGAACCGTGCACCAGAAAATCAAACAAATGCAATTATGTAGGACGTTAATTTGAAGAGGATTCAGCAAATCAAAGTGTAAGTCTTCTATAATACACACACTAAAAATACTAACATTGAGAAGCCATTGATATGAACAAGATTCAACCACGAGCAGCAATTAAATAAGCAAAGATCTTTCTCTCTCTAAATGCCTTATGCACTCGTATATGAGGTAGGTTTTGTGTTAGAATATTATGTATGAGAATGGAGACCTAAGCTTATATATATAAGTGAGAGTAGGTTTCTTGCCCATAAGGGAAGCCCTAATATGCATCTTTAACACCTCAAAAATTGTTAACAAAGAACATGATTTTTTCGTTGCAGAAGTAAAGAACAATTCTCACTCTTTAGGAATGTAATTTAATTTTAAAGCAAAAATTCAACCACACTAAAAGAGTGGAGTTTGTTTCATCTTTTCTAGCATCGTATAGAAGAATGGTGGAGTTTTGAATTCAAATATATCTTTCACATTTCACCCAAAAAAAATGTCTTTAACAAAGAACATAATTTTTTCGTTGCAAGAGCAAAAATCACTTATCACTCTTTAAGAATGTAATTTAACCTTAAAGCAAAAAATTCAACCACACTAAAGGGTGGAGTTTGTTTAAATCTTTTCTGGCATTGTACAGAAGAAGGGTGAAATTTTGAAATCAAATATATCTTTTACATTTTGCAAAAAATTGTCTTTAACAAAGAACATAATTCTTTTTTTTGTTGTAGGAGCAAAGTACTATTCTCTCTCTTTAAGAATGTAATTTAATTTTAAAGCAAAAATTCAATACTAAAAGGGTGGAGTTTGTTTCAATCTTTTCTAGCATCATACAGGAGAAGGGTGGACTTTTGAAATCAAATAAATCTTTCACATTTTGCCACAAAAATTATGTCCTTTGTTAAAGAACATAATTTTTTCGTTGCATAAGCAAATAACAATTTTCACTCTTTAAGAAAGTAATTTAACTTTAAAGCAAAAATTCAACCACTTGTGGAGTTTGTTTTAATCTTTTCTAAATTGTACAAAAGAAGGGTGAAGTTTTGAAACAAATATATCTTTCACATTTCGCGCAAAGAAATATGTCTTTAACAAAGAACATAATTTTTTTTGTTGCAGGAGCAAAGAACAATTCTCACTCTTTTAGAATGTAATTTAATTTTACAGCAAAAGTTCAACCACACTAAAAGGTGGAGTTTGTTTCAATCTTTTCTGGCATCATACAAAAGAAGAGTGAAGTTTTGAAATCAAATATATATTTCACATTTCACCCAAAAAATTATATCTTTAATAAAGAGCATAATTTTTTTCGCCTCAGGAGCAAAGAACAATTTTCACTCTTTAAGAATGTAATTTAATTTTGGAGCAAAAACTCAACCACACTAAAAGGTGGAGTTTGTTTCAATCTTTAATGGCATCCTACAAAAGAATGGTGGAGTTGAAATATCTCACATTTCGCACAAAAAAAAATGTCTTTAACAAAGAATATAATTTTTTTGTTGCAAGAGCAAAGAATGATTCTCACTCTTTAAGAATGTAATTTAATTTGAAAGTAGAAATTCAACCACACTAAAAGGATGGAGTTAATTTGCTTCAATTGTTTCTTGCATCATACTAAAAGATAGGTGAACTTTTGAAATCAAATATATCTTTCACATTTCACCAAAAAAATTATGTCTTTAACAAAGAACATATTTTCCATTGCAGAAGCAAAGAACAATTCTCACTCTTTAAGAATGTAATTTGACTTTAGAGCAAAAATTCAACCACACTAAAAGGGTGGAGTTTGTTTCAATCTTTTCTGGCATCGTACAGAAGAAGGTGGACTTTTGCAATCAACTATATCGTTCACATCTCACGCAAAACATTATGTCTTTAACAAAGAACACAGTTTTTTCATTGTAGGAGCAAAGAATAATGCTCACTCTTTAAGGGTGGAGTTTGTTTCAATATTTTTTTACATCGTACAAAAGAAAGGTAGAGTTTTGAAATCAAATATATCTTCCACATTTCACACAAAAAAAAAAAAAAATTAATAAAGAACATAATTTTTTCATTGTAGGAGCATTGAACAATTCTCACTATTTAATAATGTAATTTAGTTTTAAAGCAAAAAATCCAACCACACTCAAAGGGTGGAGTTTGTTTCAATTTTTTTTTGACATCGTACAAAAGAAGGGAGTTTTGAAATCAAATATATCTTTCACATTTCGTGCAAAAAATTAATCCTATTGTTTTAATCATATCATTTATCATTTAATAAATATTTGTCATATAATTAAATTGATGACATGAAGCATTTCCAGTCTTTAAACTAAAAATAATCCTATTATTCTAATACTTTTATGTTTATAAAAGAAATCTCATAAAACCGGCCAAATTAAAACAACGAGTAATGCTAGCTATACTAAATTTGTAGATGTCACCAATAAAAAATAAACATGATAATCAGCACTTAAGTAATAATTCAATCATTAACTTCCATTTCATTTAGTTTACAAAATTAAATCTACACATTTAATTTTCCTAACATTACTCTAAAACAAACTCTGAAAACAAAGAAGTCGTTGAGTTTTTCTACACAAATTCGATTTGAGTAATGATACACGTGATCCGCGCCAACACTTACTATCCCCTCTCGCTAAAACCCTAGAGAAAGTGAATTAGCCACCGCCGGCCGCGACCATGACCGTACTCAGCCGCCTCCAAGTATTTGCGTCCCAGATAACGCGCCGCGGTCTCGGGAATCTGGAGCGCCGAGCCTACAGATCGGCGGCGGCTCAGCTGCAGTACGACGACGACTGTTACTACGACGATCAGGACGAAGAGGAGGAACGGAGGAAGACGACTCGGAATCGGATGCTGGACTCGGACGGGTGGGTTCCGGGAAGAGGTGTGCAGTGGGTGCTGATCGGAGACAGAGGCGCGAAGAAGCACTTGTACGCCGAGAAGCTCTCGAAGCTGCTGGAAGTTCCGCACATTTCTATGGGATCCCTCGTCCGCCAGGAGCTCAACCCTCGCTCTTCTCTCTACAAGCAAGTTAAATTCTTGGTTTTTAATTCCAATTGAATTTCTTTTGCAAGAACTAGGATTTTTCTGAATTGAATGCTTTCTCTATTTTTTTGGTAATTAATAGATTGCGAATGCAGTGAATGAAAGGAAGCTTGTCCCGGACGAAGTGATATTTGCGTTGTTGTCGAAGAGGTTGGACGAAGGATACAATCGCCGGTGAAAACGGGTTCATCCTCGATGGGATTGCTAGAACAAGAACACAAGCTGTGAGTTTTAACTTCTATGACAAAATCAAAACTTTACTTCATGGTTTGTGATTAGAATTTTGGGAAATATGCAATGTGTGCAAATAGAACTGGTTATAAACTTTTAATTAAATTGAACCCCTAAACCATTGCATATTTTCGGAAATTTTTTGTAATTTCTGTGGAAGTTTGATTTTTTTTTTTGTTTTGATGGAGATTTGAATGCCAAGTGTTTTTATATGTTTTGCCTGTTACAGGAGATTGTTGGCCAAATTGCTGATATTGATTTAGTGGTGAATTTGAAATGCACAAATGAGAACTTGGTGACGAAGAATCTAGGAACCGGAAACTTCTCTGCTTGCCGAAATATCTTAGCATGGGCAACTCCGTTCGAAATCTAAATCTGCAGTCAAAGGAAGAACTGAAGTCTTCCCCTGCCGATGCAGAGCAGGTATGGCCATTGTCCTCTGTTTATATCTGTTTGATGATTTCGACTTTGTTCCGTTTTATATGACAGTTTATTTCCATTGAAAAATGTTAGTAGAAAATCATTGAAAAACGGGTAGTAATCCGTTTTTCTCTTACCTCAGACCATGTCGCTGGAAGATTACTACAGAAAACAGAACAAACTCATCGATTTTCAGGTCCAAACCGCACCCGGAGGAACCGGGCAGGGGCTGTTGGCTGCGTTACATCTTCGGCATATAAATGCTGTCAATTCTTCCCAGAAGCTCACTGCGTGATTACGCTTCATCTGTGTCATTTTCGTCTTGTTTTCTTCGTATGCATTCCGGGAGTGTAAGTGTATGTTTAAGCTGTGGGAATTAAGAGAGTTTGGTTGGAGTTCATGAGTGTTGAATGTTCCGACTTAGTTTCGAAATTTTGGTCGTCTAAGTGTTATTTTTGTCACGCGTGGCTTGCAGCATGAGAGCTATGAGTTCGTAATGTAGCGAATGAGAGATGAAAAACTGGCCTGTTAAGACCGTGATGTCGTATAAATTAAATCATTTCTCTACTCGTAGCTGGTTTTGTTGTAATTGAATTGGAATTCTTTATAAATTGCATGGATGCACCTGCGCTTACAACTCGGGAAAAAGGACCGTCATTCAAGGAGTTTACATTTGAAAATTGTCAGCGTGGCTTAACAAAAAATATAGCCACTATAAATATAGAGCTGCGTGCAACATTTTAGGACTCTCTCCAAATCAACATACAAATCTATTCTGCAGAAACTCTTGCTTTACGCAAACCCTTTCAAACCTCTTCAAGCGACCGAGAAACACATTCAATTAAGACTTGCTAATATTTAAGTATCAAATTCAATATTCTTGTGTGTTAAATTTAGTATTTTCGACTTACAACTAGAGAACATTATTATGCATGATAATGCTCAGCCACAGTAATGTCAATCAACAACCAAGCTTATATTACTAAGTGAAATCGATTGTATGGATACTAAAACGCTAATGTGTTCGGTTTTGGGTTAAGTCCAAATAGTTCATATATTTTCTTAAAGTCTCATTCCAACTCTTCGTAGATCTTCCTCTACTCTTTTTATCTTGAGTCTTCATCTCCTAGTTGCATTTTCTAACCAAAGCATTTGTAGATCATTGATCACGTGTCTAAACCATCTTAACCGATTTTCTCTCATCTTATTTTTAATTGTGATCACTCCTATTTTATCTCAAATATCATCATTCTTATTCCTATTATTTCTCATCTAATAAATATTTGTCACGTAATAAATTAACGACAAGAAGGAGTTTCCTCATTTAACTAAAATTAATCCTATTATTCTAACAATTTTCTGTTTATAAAAGGAATCTCAGAATACCGGCCAAATTAAAACAAAACTCTGAAAACAGAGGAGACAGGAGAGTCGTTGGCTTTTTTCTACACAAATTGGATTTTAGTGACTGACTTACTTTAATTTAACGG